AAGCATAGAAAGGGTTGGAAGGGACCTCAGGAGGTCAGATAGTCCAACACCCTGCTCAAAGCAGGACCATCACCAACTAGATCTTCCCAGCCAAGGCTTTGTCTAGCCAGGTTTTGAAAACGTCCAAGGATGGAGCTTCCACCACCTCTCTAGGTAATCTGTTCCAGTGATTTAATACCCTCTTATAGTGAGAAAATTCTTCCTAGTATCTAATCTAAACTGCCCTTGCTGCAACTTGAGACCATTGCTCCTCATTCTGTCATCTGCCACCACTGAGAACACTCTACCTCCATCCTCTTGCTAACCCTCCTTCAGGTACTTGAAGACTGCTATTAAGTCCCCTCTCAGTCTTCTCTTCTCTAGACAAAGTAAGCCCAGTTCCCTCAGTCTTTCCTCATAAGTCATGTCCCCCAGCCCCCTCACCACTTTTGTTGCCTTCTGCTGGACTGTCTCCAATTTGTCCACATCTTTTCTGTAGTGGGGGGCCCAAAACTGAACACAGTACTTCAGATGTGGCCTCACTAGTGCTGAAGAGAGGGGAATAATCACTTCCCTCAACCTACTGGCAACACACCTACCAATGCAGCCCAGTATGTCATTAGCCTTCTTGGCAACAAGGGCACACTGTTGGCTCATATTCAGCTTATTGTCCACTGTAACCCCCAGGTCCTTTTCTACAGAGCTGCTGCCCAGCCCGTCAGCGCCCAGCGTGTAGTGGTGCATGGGATTGTTCCGTCGTAAGTGCAGTGCTTTGCACTTGTCCTAGATGAACCTCATGAGATTCCTTTTGGTCCAATCCTCCAATTTGTCTAGGTCACTCTGAATACTAGCCCTACCCTCCAGCGTATCTACTACTCCCCCCAGCTTGGTATCATCCGCAAACTTGCTGAGGGTGCACTCTATGCCATCTTCCAAGTCACTGATAAAGACATTGAATAAAACCAGCCCCAGAACCTATCCCTGGGTCACTTCACTTGATACCAGCTGCCAGCTATACATCGAGCCATTGGTTACTACTCTCTGATCCCAATGCTCCAACCAGTTTTCTATCTATCTACCTTATGGTCCATTCATCCAGCCCATACTTCCTTAGCTTGCCTGCAAGAATGTTGTGGGAGACCATATCAAAAGCCTTGCTAAAATCAAGGTACACCACATCCACTGGTCTCTGTGCATCCACAAAGCCAGTCATCTCATGATAGAAGGCAATCAGGTTGGTCAGGCATGACTTGCCCCTGGTGAATCTGTGCTGACTGGTCCTAATCACCCTTTTCTCCTCCAAGTGTTTAGAAACAGATTCCTTGAGGATCTGATCCATGATTTTTTCCAGGGAAATTCTTTAATATAGGAATTATGTTTGCTCTTTTCCAATCATCTGGGACCTCTCCTGATTACCATGAGTTTTCAATGATGGCCAAAGACTCTGCAATCATATCAGCCAACTCCCTCAGCACCGTCAGGTGCATCCCATCCAGCCCCGAGGACTTCTACATGTCCAACTTTTCTAAATAGTCCCTAACCTGTTCTTTCACCACTGAGGGCTTCCTACCTCCTCCCCAAACTGTGCTGCCTGGTGCTGTAGTCTGGCAGCTGACCTTGCCTGTGAAGACTAAGGCAAGAAAGGCATTGATCACTTCAGCCTTTTCTGCATCCTCTGTCACAAGGTTGCCTCCCCCATTCAGTAAGGGACCCACACTTTGGCTGATTCTCCTCTTCCTACCAACATACTTATAGAAACCCATCATTGTTACCTTTCACATACCTGGCTGCAACTGCAGTTGAGCTTTGGCCTTCCTGACTTCCTCCCTGCATGCCTGTGGAACAGGATAAAAAACTATGGCCTTGGAATATGACAATGTGTGTTTGACACATTGCTCTGCTGAAACTACCAGTGGTCTGCCAACAGGTATATGTAATGGCCATTTTGAAATTTGGCCAAGAACTACAAGATCCAAACATTTCAGACCTATTTTGTTTCTGTGCTGTATATTCAAGTGAGTGGAGTTTTTAGTGCTGAACAGATTTATGTTAGTGAGCAGGAAATGGATCGTCAGTCCTAGACAGAAGTTAATGCCTGGGGAAGCAAGCATAAGCAGTGAGGGAAAATATTATTTAGAAGGGCTGAGCCCCACCCGACCCCCACTCCCCTCCCACAGGGCTGTTGCCAGGCCAGAGTGTGCTGGTACTATGTGTAGCGGCAGAGGAGCAGCTGCACGCTGAGCAGCACTGGGCACTGTGGAACAGCAGCGCCATGGTACTGCTGCTGTCGCCAGTTGCCACGAAAAGTTTGGAGGGGCTAATCCCCATTAGCCCTGGCCTTCTGCTGCCTATGGGAACAGGGTTGAAACAGTAGAGTACACAGCAGTTTGAAAATTTCACCCATAGTTGCTACTATGTCAAAGAAAACCATGGACAGAAGCAACTTACATACAGTGCTGGGTTGGCAGCACTGATTTAATATTTTCTAGGGCAATATTTCAGCTGCAAGCTCCATCTGGTGTGCAGGCTGGCAGTAGGCTCAGCTCTGTAGCTGTGACTACTCGGTTTCTACAAGGAAAATTTGTTTCTTGAGGCTGCCTTTCAGAAACAAGGTGTGGATGGATATACCTTGTGCTGTATGTGAGAAAATATAGTAGCTAGTTTAAAGCTGGCTCAAGGGCCTCTACACTGCTCTGCATTATAGTCATACCTTTAGTGTGTCACAATCTTAAGATCCAAGATCTTAAAGACAGTCTTGTCATTAAATGTAAACACAAGTTAAGTTAGTTCAGTGTGATGGGAAAGTAAATATAAACATTTGGACTTCAGGGATAAATACAGCCCAACCTCCTAACCTGCTTCCCCCAGGCACTAACGGCATCTCTTGTACTTTCCAGTAAGACATGGATATTAAAATTTCCATCACTGAGAAAATTATTGGCATACCCATGCTGTAAGTTCAGACCATTTTAATTATATACATATAATAAACTATATAGTACATGTGGAGCAGGAAAGAGAAACCAGAAACTTAATAACAGCTGAAATGGCTTTACCAAGTACACACATGAGTATTGCAATAAATAACTGGTAGAAATGGAAGGCAAAATGAAAACCTCAGTACTCATGCTATAATAACGTTTCTTCACAAATATTGGATACATTCAGGTGTTACACTTGGATCAAACTAATTAGAGTTAGCTCCATCTAAATGCCCATCTGTATATACCAGTACACTAGGGGAGGTTAGATAGGGCAAAAATGGCAGGCCTAATCTAACTTAGTTCACCTGAGGAGGTGCACTAAATTAAGTCAGGCACTGATTAGCTTGATCTACTGTACACATTTGGAGCACAGCCCCAAGACTGGGAAAGGCCAGCCACTCACCCCAGCCCAGGGCTGCACTTTTCCTGCCAACCCCACCCTGCCTGGTTTATCGCTAGACCCCTGAGCTCCCCATCCCCAGACAGAACACCCCCCCCATCCCCCGCACACCCCCCCTGACTCACCAGCTCCCCTAATCATCATCTAGCATCCCCCTTGCACCAACCACCGCCCCTCTCCCCATGGACCCACTAGCCCTCCTGATCCCACCCACCCCTCCCCTCACCCCAACTTAGGTAAAATTCCTGGCATGGCTCCCAGCAGTGGCAAACATCTATACAAACGGGACTGTATGTACAATACTGTGTCTTAAAGTAAGTGGTGTGATCATAGATTGAGTCCTGGGAATGTTTGCATGTACTCATTATGTCTTGCATTCTCCTCTGTGAAGTGATAGGTTTTGCTATTTTACAGGTGAAGTAACTAAGGCAGAGTGAGACAAAGAACACAAAGTGGGCATGTCTACATGGTCATTAATGTGCAGAAGTTACTGTGCATTTAATTTAGTACTTGCTTAATTAAGTCCTAACAAAATGCACAGTAACTTGTGCTACTGTGCAGTCGCACTGGTGCATGGATTTTTTGGGGGATGTTTACTGCGCAGTAGCCTAATAATATTGTGTAGCAGTGTATTAGCACAGCTAATGACCGGCACACTTCTATGCAGTGTTATTAGACTACTGTGCAGTAAGTGTCTTGTGTAGACACTTACTGGGCATGTCTACCCAAGCGTTTATGCCGGCTTAAATTTACTGCGCAGGAAGCAGGAATAGGCTTGCATCTACACTTGCAGGTGTTAAAATGCATTAACGCTGTGTGTGGACTGATTTGAGACTAAAGTTAGTCCCAAGTCAGTCCACACACAGTATTACTGTGCAGTAAGATGTCTACATGTGCATTACCATGCAGTAATTAGTCAGGTGTAAATTTGATACCTGCATGATGCAGGTATCAAATTTATGCTCAAATTGGTATAATTCGCCATATTTACTGTGCAGTACAAGCATACACATGTAGATGCATGCCTGTACTGTGCAGTAAATGCGCATGTGAAGATGCGCCCAGCGAGAAATAAATTCCCACATTGCCTCATCTAGCCCTGGTGTGTAATCATTACTCTGTGCCCAAACTACACCTCGATTATTAATCCAGACTATGACCCCACCCTTGTCCGGGTAAGTGAGCAAGGGGACCAATAGTCTCACCTGGTCCTATCATATTTAGATAGGAGAAAGTTAATGCTTTATTCCTCTTTGTTTTCCAGGGACAGCCAGGTTTGTGCAGTACCCATCGAGCAATGTCCTTTTGTGCTGGGCCTAACAAGTGAAGATTCAGAGCTGATTCTGAATGAGTGTGTACAGCTGACACAAAGCCTGAAGACAACGGAGAAACACCTATTCCTCTTCAGTGATTCACTTATTATTGCCAAGTTCAAGTAAGCATATGAAATCAAATTTCTCTCCGCTCACCTGCAGCACTCACCTGAGATGAAACACCACCGGACAAGTTCTAACATCCTTACTTCAGCTTCTATCAGTCAAGTGCCCACTACGGTCACTGCTACATTTTCCTAAATAGGGAAGGAGGGCCTGCTTCTATTTCACTCACATGGACCAGGACATTATTCCAGTGAACTCCCTGGACCTTCTCACAGAGCATAGCACTGATCTATCGGGGTCAGGTTGTGAGAATTAAGCCTTGGGAAAGGGCTTCGTTATGTAGTCTTGGGCCGTACTAGACTAACTGCAGCATAACTCCACTGAATTGCCTCAAAGGTTTTACCAAATTGATACCAGAATAACTTAAAAAGTAAAGACCAATATAGTGCAGTCCAATGCAATGCTGCTTGTTTTAAAGACTACAGCAGTTATGATGACACAGCTTTCAGATACCTCGTGGAAAGTAAGGATTCTGGGGGCAATCATTTGGAAATAAGGAGAATATAGCATGCCTACACTACATTCATCACCCCTAGGGAGAAAAGCTATTTCAGATGGAGTTAATGTGAGCAAATAAAAATCAGAACCAGCCTGAAAAACAAAGTCAAATTTCTATAATGCAAAATGAAGCAAAGTTCCCCACAGTTTGGGAGGGGGGGAAATTAAACCAAAGTCACAGCATCTGTTTCTTATTGAGCAATGTAATCCATAAAAATACCATGAAACCTTTTTTGTACAAAGCCCTAGTGACCAAAAGAAGTCATCCAAAATGAGGCCATGTTCCTGTCCACCCCTGTATCTCAAATACACTGGAAGCCACCCTGTTTCTCAGAAACACTATTTATCCAAATGATGCTTTATTTCTATGTCCTCCATCTTATACTGCACAGTGTGTGTGCACACAGAAGGTAGTAAGGGCTCAGGTGCTTGGATTCACAAAGGAGACAAGAATTACAAGTCCACTGCTGCTATGAGATCTAGCTGCCTCAGAAGAGACAGGAAAAGGGAGGAGATGAGAGAAAGTGTGTTGGGAATCAGAGGAATGGAAAGTCTCCTCTGATGGTTAGGGCTAGTTTACATATCTGCAGAGCAGGAACAAGAACCCCAAGCCAGAAAACACAGTCAAGCATAACCCTAAAAGTTAAAAGCAGGGCAGTTGGAGCCAAGTGTTGAGAGCCAGTGACCAAAACCAGGAGCCAGAAGCCAGGATCAGTAATGAAGAATTGAGGACTGGGCAGAAACAGGAACCAGGGTGGGAGCAGGGAGAGAAGGCCAAAAAGCAGTCAGAGACCAAGTGCAGCTTGACTTCTGAAGCACTCACTGAACAGTTGACATAATTCTTGGGTAGAGAAAGGTAGTTAGCCATGTTAGTCTGAAGTTAAGCAGAAGTGAAGACGTTATGACACCTTCTAGAACAACTCAATGATTCTCAACCTTTTTAGACCCAGGGCACCCCTCAGTAGACTCCAGACACCCCTCAGAAAATGCCAGCTTTTAGTTGTCACTCTTTTTTTACTCCAGAAAAATACTGGAGAAATTCTTCTGTTGCAAAGAACTCAGAAAGCACACAACAGGTCAGAATATTTTCTAACATTATAGATTCCTATCTGAAAACTCTGGGTTTTTCTTGTGAATCACACTTGCACAACTCACAGGGCTAACGTTCAGTGATATCCCAAGCACCCCTGAAAGGATATCCAAGCACCCTGGTTGAAAATCACTGGACCTTGTTCAGAGAAGTATAAGCTTTCATAGGCTACCACCTACTTCATCAGCTCTTATAGCAAAGTAGGTGGTAGCCTATAAAAGAACATAAGAACTGCCTTTTATTGGGGCAGATTATAAGGTCCATCATGCAGTGTCCTGTGTCACACATTGGCAACGAGCAGAAGCTGAAAAGGAGAGTGAACTGGATTTGATCAGGGTTTTTTCCACTGTTCCTCTTTCACCTGCAGCCTTCAGCATTTAAAGTCTAGGCAGTTCTGATTCAGAGGCTGTATCCCTAACTCCCACGTTCAATAGCTACTGATGTACCTTTCCTCCACGAATTTGCCCAACCCTTTTTGAATCTGACTAAACTGTCAACTTCCACAATATCTTGTGGTAACAAGTTCCACATTTCAATTTCATGCTGTGTGAAAAAGAACTTCGTTTTGTTAGCTTTAAACTTACTACCTAAGTTTCATTTTGTGACCCCTAGTTCTTGTATTGTGAGAGAGAGTAAATAATAAATCTCTATTTACTCTCTTTTGACCATATAGGATTTTGTAAACCCTCTGTTTCCCCCTGCAAGCATCTCTTTTCTAAACTCTTTCGTCTCTCTTCATATGGAAGCCCCTCCATACCGCTAATCATCCTTGTTGCCCTTCTCTGGACCTTCTCTAGTTCTTCTATTTCCTTTTTCAGGTGTGGGGAACAGAACTGGACACAGTGTTCAAGGTGCAGATGCACCATAGATTTATAAAGGGGCATAATGATACTTTCCATTTTGTGTACAATTCCATTCTTAATAATCCCTAATATTTTTTGCTTTTCTGATGGCTGCTGAGCAGTAAACTGATGTTTTTAGTGAACTGTCCACAGTGAGTCCAAGATCTCTTTCCCGTGTGGTAAAACCTAATGTAGAGCCCATTATAGTATAGGTATAGGTTGGATTATTTTTGTCCAGATGCAAGACTTTACACTTATCTACAGTGAGCGAATGCTTCTCTATCAGGTGCCACACTGCCCTGCATACTTCTTACTAAAGTGGCCAAGAATGCAGTCTCACCACCACAACAATCAACACTGGGCACATTTACATGTGCATTAATGAGTTTTGCCTAATGTAAAGTACTAAATAAATGTGCATTAGGCTGCCCTAATGTGCAGTATTGAAAGTGCACATTTTTTTAAGTGACGCTTCATGTGCTGTAACCTATTTTACTGTGCATTGTGTAATTGCATGTTTTTTCACATGACACTTTAACATGCAGTAAAATAGGCTACTGCACATTAAAGCACATGTGTAGACACGCCCACTGTGTATGAAATGCTAAGAATGCTGGAGGCCCAGGTCTCTAGTGCAAGGGACACTCCCCAGTTATACTCATGACATCATTTCTAAAGCTGATGCACAGAGAGCCTGAGCAGGTAGGTGGGATTTATTGCCTTGGCTTAGCTCTCTGCCACCATGCTGTAGACATGTCCTAAGAGTACTGAACTTAAAGCTTAAAGCTCAGCTGCCTGCAGCCAAGAGTGCAGTCTAGCACAGCTGGACCCAATCAGGAGTCAGGTAGTTCCAGGTAGGCCGTATGTGCCTACACAAGATGCTACAAGCGCAGTAGACTAATTCTACCACGGATTAGCACAGCAGGCAAAAGCTGTGCTAATGCACAGTAGAATCCATCTACTGCACGTTAGCACCACCTACAAAATGTGCACTAGTGCTACTGTGCAGTAGTGCCATTAACAGCGCATTAGCTTTAGTACCTGTAGTAACAGGTACTAACTTAATGTGCCATAATGTGTAGATGCATTTGCTGAGGATAAAAGATTGCACCAAAATACTCCCATCTCTTTCAGCCAGAAGAGTTGGTCTCAGACAAAGAGATGCAGCTGTCATAGCCTGACAATAATAGGCAATTTGATCACAATTCTTGACTCATTTGGCTGAGTAGAGAGACAATGCTTCCTGGAGTTCCTGTGAAAGTATAACCATACCATGGGGTCTGTTCCTAACAGGCACAAAGCTCCCTTTAATTAAACAAGAAAATATTGAACACTAGCCATCGTTGTGTTATTTTAAATGTGTCTATTACCTGTTGTCCTGATATAAGGGGCATAGCTAGTTAAAGTGAACACAAGCTCTCAGTGCAATGCTGTGACAAAAAGGACTAGTGTGTTCCCTTCCAGAAGTATAGAAGACAGGAGGTGATTTTACTGGAATACTGGCTTCTGGCACATGCCTGCTAAAAAGTATGTTGCAAAATTAGAGAGAACAGAAAAGAACCACAAAAAATTATTTGAGACATGGAAAGTTTCATGCCTTGCTGCAAGAAATGAAAATAGCTTAATCTGTCTAGTTTATCGAAAGAATATCAAGAATTGATTTGATGATGGCATATGAGTAGGATCTTGGGGAGAAAACTCAGGGCACTAATCTGCTCTTTAATTTTGCAGAAACCAATGGCTAAACATTCAAGTGAGGTGAATTCAAACTATAAATAAGACACATTTTCAAAAGTGAGGGTAATTAACTACTGAAACAAACTGCCACAGGAGATGGTGGATTCTTTGGCTCTTGGTGTCTTCAAACCAAGTTTGCCTTTCAAGAGGAAAGGTTTTAGCCAGAAAATACAGGATATACAATAGCCCAGCACAAGTTATTGTGCTCAGCACCGAATAATTGGATACAGTTCTTTGGCCTGTGTAAGCAGGAGGCCAGACTAAATGATCTAATATTCCCTCACTGACTTTTACATGTGAATGCATGATTCTAAGCTGTTCTACATTTCTCTAAAACAAAATTATAAGTGTTTTATGTTTGGCATCCATGGATGTTGCAGCCCTGATTCAGTCAGACTCCCACTGACTTCACTGAACTGCCACTCGAGTAACTTTTCAGGGTGAGGCCCAAAATTTATACTCCAATATCACTCTAGCACACAGTTTGCATACATCAAAAGCAAGGTAACAAAGTAAAAAAGTTTCTGAAAGTGATTAAACACATCCAGGGTGTATCTACAAGTGCCATTAAGGCACTGTGATAAACTCCAGGGCAATTTGCAGTTGCTCAAATTGATGCCGTCTAGGGTGCACATGCAAGCACTGCTCCCAGGACCGCAGCAGTTGGAGCCAGGGCAGAGCAGCCCCCAGCTAGCAGAGGACACGGGGGTCATCCCTAGGCTCCAGGTGCTGGTGTCAGGCAGCAGAGGTGCTGTCTGGGGCACAAGGGAGGTAAAGGGCAGGGCTCGGCAGCAGGCAGCCCCCTCATGTTTGCACCCTCATGCCCCAG